GGTGACAGTTTTGAAGTCGGCGCCGCCTTTGGCCCCATCTTCGTCGGTGCGATCCTCGCTCTGTGGGGTGCTCGGGCTCTCGTAAGGGGCATTCGTGGTTCGTCCCATTGATGGGGCGATTGGGGAAAAGCTTGCTCTGTTTGCTCATGCCTGGTCCAACAATTTGTGGGCTTTTTGGGTTGTTTCCGATGGCCTGCGGTGGCGTTGGGTGGCCCCGCCTCCTTTGGGGGGTTCAGAGCTCGCGGGGCAGGCCTCTTCTGCGCTCTGTTGGGTCGTCTTGGAGTGGGTACGCTTGGGCATGGTCAAAACAACGACGTCTCTCAGATGGGTTTCCCATCTGTTCCCAGTCCTGAAACGAGACTGTGCAGACCTTTGGTTTATTCTGGACTCTTCCCGTCTGTACCCCTGGGTTCATTGACCCTCCTTCCGGATGACTACTCTGTTCCAAGTCCAGCTTCTGTTGTTCTATTGGAGCCGGGTGCTTGGATGGTGTCCCTGGACTTTCTGGACGCATATTGGCACATCCCCATTCATCTGCGGTTCAGGGAATGACCTGGTTTTGTTGTGGGGCTTCAGAGTTATTGCTTTCGTTGCCTTTCATTCGGTCTGAACCTGGCACCTCGCCTGTTTACATGCCTTATCAGTGGTCGTGGTGGCCTGTCTGCATCTTAGGGGTTTGAGTCCTGGCCTACCTCGATGACAGGTTGGTGTGGGCTCCCAGCCGGTCTGTGTGTCTGCTCACCAGGGGTTTGGTTCTTTCCCAGCTCGTCAGGTTTGGGCTTCTGGTGAACTGGCGGAAATCCCATCTGGTTCCCTCTCAGGTTCGGTCTTGGTTGGGTCTTGTGTGGGACTCTCGGGTCGCCTCCTTGTCTCTCCCTCCAGCTTTTCTGCTTCGGCTGCTGTCCCACCTTCGCTTGTTTTGAGGGGCTCCCAGGTCACCTGGCAGATGCTCGAGGGTTTGTGCTGGTGCATGTTCTTTGCCATGGTCTTCCTGCTGGATCAGGTTTGGCTTCATCGGCTATTCTGGTTCCTTTTGGGGTCGTTTCTTCCGCCTCTCTCGAGATCTCTGCGTTCGGCCTCCAGGAGCCTTTCATTGGCTGCTATGTCGCCGGCTTCCTCTTCGTGCTTTTGAGTGCCTTGGCGCCAACCAAGCCCTTGCTCGATGTGTTCATGGGCACGTCATCTCTTGGCTGGGGCTTTGTGCCCAGTGTTCACCAGGCCGGCCACGGACGGTGGGGTCCGTCCTTCTGTTGAGCCCACAGCACAGTGCGGGATTTTGCGGAGGTGTGGATGTCACTCGAGAGGGTTCGAGCCGCTTGCGGATCGACGATCAGGCTCCATTTGGACTGCTTCCTGGTGATTCATTGCCTGAACCAATTGGGGTTCGATGCGGTCCTTAGCTCTTTGGGGCTGGTCGGTTCGGGTGACTCATCTGCTGAGTTCTCGGGGGTTTGGCTCTCCTGGCAGTTTACGTTCGGGGGTGTCCAACGTCCTGGCGGATGACCTGTCTCGGTCATTCCCCTGTCCACGGAATGTACGGTCGACGTAGACTCGTTCAGTTGGCTCTGTCGGAGGTACGAGCCTCTGGTGGTAGACTGCTTCGCATCGGTGTGGTCAAGGCATCTCCTGTGTTATGTGGCACCCTTCCCTGTCTGCGAGGCCATTGGGGTCGATGTCTTCAGGCAGGATTGGTTGAGGTGGGGTTAACTGTACCTCTTTTTCCCGGTTCTGCTGTTTCTCCAGATCCTAGCTTGCTTGGAGACTTGCCAGGGGCGAATAATCCTCTTGGCCCTTTGGTGGCAGGCCCAGCCTTGGTTTCAGGCGCTGTTTGCTCGGTGTCCCAACCCGAGGGTCTTCCCGCAGCTCCGTCTCTTTCAGCAGATTGGGCCAGTCCGTTACATAGCTGGTTCAATCTTCTCCCCACCTCTTCGCGTCTGGTCTTTCCGACGAGGGTCTATCACCATTTGTATAGTGGCTTCATTGATGGCGTCCCACCTGCACGTCTTGTCTTGGCGGCAGTATGAAGTTTCATGGCGGTCCTTTCATTTCTTTTCTGGGGCGAGTCCCAACAGCTCCCCGGAGCTATCTATGCTGATAGGGATATTCCTAACTTTTGGCATCGCTCGATGTGGGTGGAGTTCTAGGCCTACCAGGGACCACGGCCAGAACCTGGCCCCCTCAGCAAGGCACAAGGAGCAATGGTGTGTTGAAATGCACATGTGATTTTGGAGCATTCTATATCTGCCATCGACTGGGACAGTCAACAGAAAGGTAAGCAAATCAAAACAACCCCCAATTCTGGTGAAACCAACGAAAATAACAAGTGGACAGAACTCTCCGAAGGGAAAACGAGCAAACTAGCGTGACGTCACATGAGCCGCGCCTCACATCTGCGCAGCTCTTCCCTCCCCAGGAGGTGGAAGGGGGAGTCCCAGACCCTTGCGCCTGCGATCGACACCCCAGTTACTCGGTTGATGGGATAAGGCTTGGTCGTTGTGGCTCCAGCTCCAGATACTCTTTGTGCTGTGCCTGGGTTCAGTACTTCTCTTCGGTGGTGTGCGAGCTGGGAGTATTATTTCTGAGTACTCGGGCTGCATGTGCTTAGGGCTCCCTTCCCTAAGTGCCCTGTAAGTACCGCCCTTGGGGCTTATGATTTCCTTCCACAAGTCACCTCGGGTCTTCCTCTATTGGTCTTTCGCTGCTTGGAAATTGACCGCCCCGAGTGTTTTGGGGGATTCCTCCCTTGTTTGCCTTGGGGTAAGTGGTAGTTTTTGCACTGGTGGGGCACAGGGTACTGCATAGCTAGTTTTCACCTGTAACAGTGGCTGGCTCTGTTCCCTTTGGGTACGCTGTCCTCTTGCTAGGTGTTTTTTTTTGCCTGGTGGGAAAGGGGGGGGGCGGGGGTCTGCCTTGGCCTTCTGGCCAAGGCAGACCCCCCCTGTTGTTATATTAGGGTTGTTTGTGTTTGGTGGTACCCCTGTGAGTGAACACATCCTGGGGGTTCAGCATTAGCAGTGTTGATTGGTAGCTTTGGCGTCGGTTAACAGTACCCTGCCTGGGATAACCCTTAGCAGACCCAATCTAGGGTGCGAGGGTCCAATGGATGTGACCCCAGAGTCTCGTCTTGCTTTTTGTGAGTTTCAGGGTTGCTCTGTCCCCTTGTCTCAGGGCGACTCTTGTTTTTGCCTCCATCATGCTGCCTGTTGGGTCAGTGACCCCCTCTTTATAAGTATACTGTTCTTCGCTTTCTATTCGGGTGGTCTTGTCCTTTCTCTCATGGCTGTTTCAGGATCGTCATCTTATGCTGAATGCTATCGCCTTGTTTCGTGCGGCGCTGCCGGAGCCGTTGCAGCTTGCCATCGGCATCGATGTTACTTCTGCAATGTTTCGCAAGCTGTCTTGGGCGTTGTTTCACCTCTGGCCTGCTCATGCACTGCTTGAGCCGTGTTGGTCTTTGGACAGGGTTCCTCCCTTATCTCTCTTTCCCCCTCACTTTGTTGTGGCCCCTATTGTTCAGGATTGTCTCTCCAAGGCTCTCCTGGGGGTTGGGTCGAGGAGCTTCATGCGCTCCTCCAGCACAGGGGTTTGATTTTTTGGTCCTTTTGATAGGTTTGTTCGGTTGCAGCCGTCATCTTCTTTTCTGGCGAAGAATGAGACTGCTGCTTTCTGGCGGGGTCCTTGGGTTGCTGATGCTTGGTTGGTTAGGCCGGGGATGTATCATGTGTTGTCCAGTTGCGGCTCTCCGCCATTATTTGCGCTCTATGGCCTCCGTGACCGGGGATTCGCTTTGGGTTGATCTGGTTTCCTTTCTTTGTGTTCCAGGGTTCAGGTCTCCCTGGTCACCCGCAGGGTTATTCGGTCCAGCCAGCCTGTGGTCTATCCCCGTGCCCATGATGTTTGCTGTGCTTGCTGCTGTCTCTGGTAACATGTCTTAGGTAACATGTCTTGGGTAACGTGTCTTGGGTTGACATTCGGGCATGGGATTTTTAGCAGTCAAACAGGATCCTGGCTGCGCGTTACCTGGTGAATGTTCCTGGGCCTAGTTGGGCCAGTTGTCTCGACTTTATGTTGAGGAGTGAGCAATAACCGCCTCCTGGGTAAGTCCTTCTTGTTTTCGTCTTTTGGTAAGTAGCTCCAGGGAGCCATAGGGGGGTCCCCCCATATCCCCCCAGAAAACCAGCATTTGATGTTGTGAAATGCCATTTTCTGGGCGAGACCCTGAGGCTCCCCGGCAACCTTCCCTCCCTCCCTCCCTCCGTTCGGTGTTTTTTTGTGTGTTTTGATATCCTGTCTCAGAACTGGGATTTGGGTAGCCGGTGCGAGGGGTCTGGGGCTCCCCCTTCCTCCTCCTGGGGAGGGTGGAGGTGCACAGACGGCTGTGTGGCGACGTCATGCTCGTGTTTTTTTGGGTAGTTCTGTCCACTAGTTCGGCTTTCAGTAGCAATTTCTTAACTAGAATAGGGGTTTGTTTTTGGAGCACTTGCCTCTGGGTGCTTGACCCAGTCGATGGCAGACATAGAATGCTTCCAACTACTGTATGTGGGATTTCTATCGGCCATTGCTCCTCGTGCCTCTCGGAGGGGGCCAGATTCTGGAAGTGGTCCCCGGTAGGCCTAAGAACTCCATTCATATCACTGATGCCAAAGTCTAACATAGCAATATCAGCCTGGATAAGCTCCGGGCAGCCTCCGGGTCTCGCCCTGAAATTAGCATTTCATTACATTCAACTTTTTTTTTTTTTTTGTAACTATAGTACTATTTGTTTCTAAGTACTGTACTGCATTGACCTTTATTCTTATATCTAGTAAATACAGTAGGTAAACTAAAGAACTTAGAAAAATGAGCCTATATTTTTACTTCTTTAAACTGAGGTGAGAGTTCTCATTTGCTACGTATCTCTATTTACCATCTTATTGGCAGTTTACCAGATTTAATATTTATGTGCAATAATTGTACTTGTTCAGTTCCCAGTCAATGTTGAATAATGTGTGTAATTATAGGCAAAGGGTGCGTGACAAGTCAGAGAGAGCAACAGTGGAGCAGGTGTTGGACCCCCGAACTCGAATGATTCTTTTTAAATTTCTCAACAAAGGCACCATAACAGAGGTAAGTCACTTGTATTTTTGTAGTACGGTGGAACCTCAAGTGACAAGCCCCTCAATTTATGAGCATTTTGAGTAACGAGCGCTCCGCCCACCGACAATTTGTCTCGATTGGCAAGTGCTCGTTTGAATAACGAGAAAACCACTTGGTGCGTTCCCACTGCTTCTCGCACATTCTCGGATGCCTCCAATGATGCAAATACATTTTTTAATTTTTAAAGATGCTAATGATGCTGGGATGTAAAGGGATGACTGCTGTGATGTTGCAAAGCATTCAATTTTTTTTGTAGAATAAAAAAAAAAGACAATTTGAAAAAAAAGAACAAATGTCAAAAAGGTTTGTTCGGTGTTTGTCAGGTAGGCTGTTCCATGTTTCTTAATTTAAATTAAAAAAAAAAAATGAAAAACAGATAAATGTCATAAAGGTTCTCTCAGTGTGTGCCAGGTAGGCTGCTCCATTATTAGTAAATAAATTAAAAATACAAAACAAATTGAACACATTTGAAAAAAAGAAAGATTGTTATAATGTAGCAGCCTACCTGACGAACACTGAATGAACCTTTATGACATATGTCCGTTTTTCAAATTTATTCTTTTTTTTTTTTTTAAAAACATAGAGCAGCCTATCTGACAAACACCGAACAAACCTTTTGCTATACAAAAAGAAAGAAATTGAACAAATTTGAAAAAAGGACAAATGTCACAAAGGTTTGTTCAGTGTATGTCAGGTAGGCTGCTCCATTATTTAAAGTATTGAATATCATATTGTTGTTTTTCAGTGGTAGAATGGATTAATTTTATTTTCCTTATTTAAAATGGGGAAATTCGGTTTGAAAGACGAGCATTTCACATGATGAGCTTGGTGCCGGAACGGATTAAATTTGTTAATCGAGGTTCCACTACTATGTTAAGCTCATCATTAGAAACAATTGTGAAGAACTACTACTTACTGCATATATCAATTGTTTGTCTTGAATTGTATTGATTATTGCTTTATATGCAGTATGTAATATGATGTAGGTTTACCACCACTTGTATTGTCACCTGCATCTTTTGTCACTGTGATAGTATAAAGTTTATTGGCTCTCCTTTTGCCACTTTGTCTCTCTTCATCATGTTTCTTCTGTGTTTATTCCAGTAGTTTTGTTCTTGTTTTTTGATGGGGGAACAAAAGCTACTATACCAAGTAGCTACTGTCAGTCGTGGAGTTTTTATTGGCCTACCGAGGACCACGAGCCAGAACCTGGTCTCCTCAGAGAGGCACGAGGAGCAATGGTCTATAGAAACCCCCGTGTGGTTGGAAGCATTCTATGTCTGCCATCGACTGGGTCGGGCACCCAGAAAGGTAGGTGCCCCAAAACAAACCCTATCTGGTTAAAAAATTGCTACTGAAAGCCAAACTGTTGGACAGAACTCCCCAAACTAAAAACGAGTAAATGAGCACGGCATCACAACCGGTACCTTGCCACTGTTTGCACAGCTTCCCTCTCTCTGGGAGGGGAAAGGGAGAGCTCCAGACCCCTCACGCCATCTATCCATCCCCAGAAAACGGCTGGTGTGAGACCTGGTGTCGTGCGACTCTGGCTCTTGACATTCCAGTGATATGCCTTGTGGTGTGGTCCAGTTCTGTGGTGGTGTGTGTGTGGTGGCTCTCTAGAAGCTACTATAGTAGTTTCTCTAGTACTTGTGCTGCATGCACCTAGGGTTACCTTCCCTAAGTGCCATGAAAGTACTGCCCTTGGGGCTTGAGTTTTTTTTCAGAAGTCACTTGGGGTCTACCTCTGCTGTGGATTTTTGCTGCTCGAGGATTGCCCGCCTTTGGAGTCAGCTGGGGTGTTTCACGCACCACTTTGTCTCTGGGTTGGAGGTAGTTTTGTCACTGGTAGGGGCGCAAGGTACTGTGCATCTTGTTTTCACATAATACAACGGCCGGCTCTGTTCCACCTGTGATGTTGTCCTCTTGCGGGGTTTTTCTTTTATTTTTGTTTGCTGGCTGTTGAGGGGTCTGCCTCTTGATGTTCAAGAGCCCTTTACATCTAAGGGCCCCTGAAAATCCTCCACTGGGGCTCAGTGGTCCAATGGATGCATTTCCTGGTTCCCATCTCGCTTCATGTGAGTTTGAAAGTTGTTCTGTCCCTTTGTCTCAGTGTGACAGTCACCATTTCTGCCTCCATCATGCTGCCTGTTGGGTCGGTGACACCTTCGACCCGGAGTCCTGAGAGTGGTTTTGCTTGCCTGTACTGCAATTCACCCAATCCACTGATTTTTATTTTTGGGTGCAGGCGGCTTCGGCGTTTCATGCGCGTACAGTATTAGGTTGCTGCAGCACGCTAGGTTGGTTGCTCAACTGGATGCCCCGAGACTGCCCCGTTTTGGTTATAGGGACCCAGACTTGGGGGCGTTAGTCGCCTCGACTTTGGTTTTGTCTGCTCCCCCTTGACCTTCACCTGCTGTTCATCCTATTCCTCCCCCCACCCTGCCTCCGGCTCCGTAGCGTCTGAGGGCTTCGGAGTTGGGGCAGGGCTTAATTGGTGGTGAGACTCGGGCTGTTTGGGGGCTGCCCCATCCTGTGTGGCAATGGAGGCATTCGAGCCTGTTCCTCCTGCCGGTGCTTCTGGGTCTGACCAGTGGGCCCCCCTTCTTTCCTGCTTTCCCATTGGACTTTGCCTTTCTTTTGAGGCACTGGGTTTGGAGGATGGCTCGGGCCCCAGGTCCTGGTGTGGAGGTTGGACTGACTTGGGGAGCTTGGGCCCCGTTTAACCCCGCTTGGGTGTTGGTATTATCTGAGTGGGGCTTGTTGATACAGGGTTAGGGTTTTCTTATCCTCCCTCCCTGTACACATTTGATATGGTGTCAGCTCCTCCCTGGATTCAGTTCTGGGTTCGTTTGGGTTCTTCGGTCCCTTCCTTCTGGAGGTTTTCAGGATCCCACCTCATAAGGTGCAGGAGGCCCTTGCCGCTTACCTCTCGCGTGACCCGGATTGTGCCTCGATAATGGATCCGGTCTCTTTCGAGTTTGGTTCTATCTTTCCTTACTGGGTTCAGCTCAGTCGATTAAGGCAGCTTCTGCGATCCTCTCGGACGTAGGTTCGAGCCCTCATCACGGCCCCTTGTGGATTTGTTCATTTGATGTATCACGCTATTGTGATTTGTGTGTAATGAAGTAAGGGCGAAGAGATTGAAGAGTCTATTGACATAGGTCAGGTGCATGGGGGAATTGCGTAAAACCCTGGTTTGTGTGTCTGAGAGACTGCAGGAACTGTTGGTAAATCAGGATGATTTCCCCGGTTGCAATTCTTTTAGCCATGTCTTGGCTCAGTCGATTAAGGCAGCGTCTGGGATCCACTCGGATGTAGGTTCGAACCCTCGTCATGGCCCCTTGTGAATTTGTTCATTTACATATCAGCCTGGATAACTCCGGGGAGCCTCCGGGTCTCGCCCAGAAAATAGCGTTTCATTACATTCAATGCTGGTTTTTTGTTTATTGGTTTTTAGCGCATGTTTACATCTTTGGTGGAGTAGGTCTGCCTATCTTCCCATTAGCTTAGCGTAGGTTGTGTTTGGTAGTCTTCCTCTGTTGCTCCGAGGTTGTACAGTGATGCCGTTGGCCAGTTTGTCTGCAGCCAATAGGACTTAGGGGCTTAGTCAGCCACAGTGCCTGGGCTTCCCGTAGAGATTACATACCCTACGGGCCCTGGAAATCCCCATAAGGCCAGGGTTACCATGGACGTGTCTTCCAAGCCCTGTCTAGCCTTGTGAGATGTCGAAGGGTGTTAGTTACTCTTGCCTCGTGATGACGATCATCCATCTAGCCTCCGTCATGCTGCCTGTTGGGTTGGTGACACCTACGACCCTGAGTATTGTGGGACGTGTTCACGGGTTGTTATTCATTTTACCCATTTCTCATCTGAGGATGTTAGGGTTCAGATGGCGGTTTGGTCGCGTGCTAGGTATTCTGTGTTGCCACAGGCCAGGATAGTGTCCTGGTTGGAAGCCCCAGAGCTGTCGCATTTGGATTTTAGGGGACCAGGATTTAGGGACATTTGTTACTTCAACCTTGGTTCTGTCTGCGTCCTTTCTTCCTTCCCAGATGAGTGTGGTTCGCCCTGCTCAGTTTAGTTATAAACCCATTAAGATTTTAACATGGATTCAACAGAGCAGAAGTTGTTGAACACATGGGATAAAATCTTACTGGAGCGGCTGTACGAGTCATAAATACTCATACTCTGCCTAAGTAAAACAGAAACAAGAAACACTTAGTGGGCCAGCCTGAGGCTTAGGGTTCGTGCAGGAATATCCCTGCAAAGAAAGAAAGAATGAGAGAAAGAGAGAAAGAGATAGAAAAAAAAGCTCCTCTCCCCTGCTTCTGGCTCCTTAAACGTCTGAGGGTTTCCGGGCCAGGGCAGGGTTTAGGTGGTAATGAGGCTCGGGGGTGCTCACTCTTCTGGGGTGTTCATGCCAGGGCTCAGGTTTCAGCAGGTCGAGGTGGGCCTTTGGTGCCGGGTTCGGAACCTTATTCATCTGGTCAGCGTGGTGGTTGCTCTGCTTGGAAGTCGGGTGCTCGGAGGTTGCGTCGGCCCTTTCGCGGGGCTCTCCATTGACCGGGTGATTGGGGGGGGGGAGCTGGCGCTGTTTGCCCCACGCTTGGTCCCATGATTCGTGGATTTTTCACGTCATGTCTTCCGGCCTTTGGAGGCGTTGGGCGGCTCCTCTGGTAGAGGGTTTGGGGCTGGCTAGGCAGGCTTCTTTCCCCGTCTCTCTGTTAGGTCATCTGGGAGTGGGTTCACTAGGGCGTGGTTGAAACGACTGTCTCTCAAATGGGTTTCCCGCTTGTTTCTGGTTCTGAAACGGGACTGTGCAGATCTCCACTTCATTCTGGACTTGTTTCGACTGAACCGTTGGATTCCTTTCCCCTACTTTTGGATAACTACTTTGTCCCAAGTCTGGCTTCTTCTCAAGACAGGCACTTGGATGATATTCCTGGACTTCAATGACGTGTATTGGC